ATATTTACGTTTGTGGTTGTAATGTGACAAAATATGGAAAAGTTCAAGGGGTATGAATACTTTTGCAAACCACTGTATACACCTCTGCTAAATAGTACCTGTTTGTCTTCGCCAGGTGTTGACAGGTACACTAGGTTCAGTTGTGCAGCTTACAATTCAAAAGGTGTCTCTACATCCAGAGAAGCCAACATTAACATCAAAGGTAAAACTAAGATTCTGTTAGTGAACATTCTGTTTAAAATGCTCCTTAAAGTCATTGTTTTAAAACAAAAAAATCCCTGTTAAGTATCATTTTACGTTCTTTCTGTGTTGTGTTTTGTAGTTCTTCCCAGTCCTGTGTTCAATGTTACCGTGACGGAGAGGCAGTCCAACAAACTGATGCTGAGCTGGAGCCCCGGACARGATGGCTTCTCTCCACTCACCAGTTGTCACATCAGGGTGAGTTTCAGCGCAAGACAAGCTGTTCAATTGTTTTAGGACCTCAGTTCGATCACTTCCTCTCTTCTGCTTCACGTTCCCAAAGGTGAAAGAGGTGAGTCGTAGGAAAGGGGAAGTGACGACCACCAGATTCGTCAARGTCACCGTGCCGCCGTTCCATTGTGAAGTCCCCGGGCTGAAAGCCATGATGAGCTAATAAATGAGTGTTTCCTGTAGCAACGAGGTGGGGTCCTCACCGGTCTCTGTGTGGGTCCAGAGCAACACCACGGAGGGAGGTGTGTTCATTCAACAGTTTCATGACTTACAAACCAAAATACAAATTAAAGAAGGCATGCATATCTCCTGCTGCCTTTCATGAGTTTTAGACCAAGATRYTCTTGCTCTGAAAAATGACTAAGCTATAGTTTTTATCAAATCTTGAAAAACATTAATGCACAATCTCCAGTAATATGAATTTCTCAATAACTACCACACCAAACTGAGCTCAGTATCAGTAAAACAGACTGAGCTATGAACATTTTTGTGTTGACCAATGTCAGTTTGCTGTGGTGACCCTCCRGGTTTGGATCGTCTCCAAAAGTTAATCATTTGTTGATGTACATCCAGTCATTATTTCCTGAAAGTAGTGTTGTAGTCAAGACCACCTAACCTGGGACCAAGTCAAGACCAAGACCAGAGTGTATAGAGACAAAGACAAGACCAAGACTTTTAAGGATGTGACCAAGTCAAGACCAAGACTTTTAGMGGCTGGACCAAGTCAAGATCATGACTATAAAGCYTTGGACCAAGTCAAGACCAAAACCAGTGTATTGAGACAAAGTCAAGATCGCAACTTTTAGGGGTGGTACCAAGTCAAGATCGCAACTTTTAGGGGCTGGACCATGTCAAGACCAAGACTTTTAGGGGCTGGACCAAGTCAAGACCAAAACCAGAGTGTATTGAGACCAAGACAAGACCAAGACTTTTAGGGATGTGACCAAGTCAGAACCAAGACTTTTATGGGCTTGACCATGTCAAGATCAAGACTTTAAGGGCTGGACCAAGTCAAGATCATGACTTTTAGAGGCTGGACCAAGTCAAGACCAAAACCAGAGTGTATTGAGACCAAGACCAAGACTTTTAGGGATGTGACCAAGTCAAGACCAAGACTTTTAGGGATGTGACCAAGTTGAGACCAATATTGAGGGAGGGAGAGACAAAATCAAGACTAAAACCAGACAAAAAAAATGGAAACTAGTGCTCTAAAACATACAGTATACTGTACACAGGTAGATGTAATATGTACTGTATATTGACTAAATCTCATTATGAAAGGGTTGAATAAAGAATTTTACTACAGAGGCAAATTGCTAACATTAGCTAGCAAGCTAGCTTTGTGATTCCTTTTAAGTTGGACATAGAGCAGTCCCTACCATCTCTGAAAGTGAAGTACTGTAGAATTTACAAGTCTGGATGTTGTTATACAAATATATTATTTATGATTTATGTAGCTGAATTGTATTACTGAAAATTTTGCAGATATCAAAAAAGTAAGTAAGTAAGTAAGTAAAGTTTTATTTATATAGCACCTTTCATAGAAATAGATTCAGAAGGTGCTGTACAATCAGAGGGAAATCAAAAGATATACAATCAGAAGAAGATATACAAAAATTTGGAAAATTGTGAAAAAAGTGGAAAAAAAACCACTGCTCACTTCCTTGGTTGGAGTGAAGGGGGCAGGGATGGTTGATGGCAGTAACAACAAAACATACTTAGCAATGAGTCAGGCTTGGATTAAATCAGTATGTTTTACATCCAATAACAGCAAGTGTGTAAATAAATAAACTGGACAATATTCTGCCAATTTAGTGATATTTCCATAATTGTGGTCTTGATTGGTCTTTAAATAAAATCCCGTCCTCAGTGTCCAAGAAAAAGACAAGARAAGTATGTGGTAGAGTCCGAGACAAGGCCGAGACTATGAAAAAGAGGTTTTGAGACTGGTCTCGAGTACTACAACACTGACTGAAAAAATCATTAAACTCTGTTCAGTAGGTCATGAGATATTTTGCTAAKAGGCAAACAAGGTTAAATTCAAAAGCTAATGCTAAACTTTTAAACAAAGYTCTTGGTACCACTTGGAATGTGTGATTCAGCTGTTCTCAGAGTGAAATCTTCTGTCATAGAATTTGACAGAACTCTATGAACTATATGAACTCAGAACTATCTTCAGAAAAAAATGTGGCTTCCACCAAATCTGTTGTTTTCTAGATGGACCACCCTGGAAATGGGAGTGGTCCCCGCTCAGAAAAAAAAAAAAAAAACATTTCTAACTGGGTGGAGCTGCTTTCAATTTCCTTCCTAAAGCCACCGCAGGGAACATTTTTAGTTGAAAGATTTGATTTGGTATTCCAGGAAATGAGAAAATGCCAAACCGTTATCAGACATTCCAGTGATGCCATGGTCTTTTTAAAAWTTTTTCAGTCCTATAAGAAGTCCATTGTCTTTGTTATTAATCTCATAAATATRTCTCCCACTCCATATTTTACTTGTCCTCCTCTCAGTGCCTTCAGTTTATCCACAAGACGTCACCGTGCACCTGAATGAGTCGTGGCTGGTGATCAGGTGGAAGCCTCCACCYGAGGATAAGATAAACGGCGTCCTGCGTGGCTATGATGTCATCGTGAGGCACGATGCTGATCATAAGAAGGTGAGCTCAGCTGCCTCAAAGTAATAAAGATTTAACTTTTTATTGTTTTTGTTCTTTCCTTCTGTCATTTTTAAGTGTGCACCACGTGTCAATTTTTACAAGGTGCTAKAATCAAAGCTCTTGAAATCCTTTACTTGTTTGTTTTGTTTCTTTTATTGACTACTATGATGAGTAAGCTGAAACTGGAAACATCTGATCCTCCCTTTGTCCTCCCTGGTGAAATAATGGTCAACTTCCTTATTATCTAACAAGTCATCTGTTTTTTTCCCTCACTTTTCTTATAATTGTTGCTCACTGAGAAAATGGGCAGCAATAATGTTTTTGCACCTGCTCACTTTTTTTGTGCGTGTGTGCATTAATCTGCCTGTCTGTTAGCAGGATTTTTTATGAACCGTTTAATGGATCTCAATGAAACTTTCAGAAAATAATCATTGGAATAACATCTTCAACTCTTTATCTTTTGGAGTCAAACCAATTCAAGTTGGATGCCACAGCCAACTGACATTACATGATACAAAATAGGCTATAACTCAAATCATTTTACAGCTTTTCATCTAAAATCTGCTATGGTAGTAGCTGAGAGTCAGACACAACATATWCTCTAAAACTGATGTCTTGCAATATAGCATTAGCTGTTTTCTAGGTCTGACTCAAATGGCAACGTCACTGTCGTTTCTCAGCACAAAATGATCTCAGTCTAAAACTCTGGCATGAAAGGCAGCGGGTGTTTGGCATTCCTTTGACGACTGCTTTTTTTAAACAACTATTTGTCCTCTAATACAATAGTGCGTTTCCTGTACGTTCTTTATGAGTTGTGGTCAGAGGAAGCTGATGATGTGAAAACTGTTCATCATGTGGACCTGAGTCATCAGAGTTTGAATGAAATATGAAAACAAAGGGGTGCGTACATTGTGCCAAAATAGTTCCTACTATCCTGTCAGAGGGTAACATCGCAGTGGGGATGACTGGAAACGTGCACAAAGGTAGCTCAAAATTCTTCTGGTTTTATAGGAATCAACAAAGTGCAAAAGTCAGGATATGGCAGCAGCGTAATATCTTCCTTCAATTCTAACGTCCTTCTCCAAAACCAGCTGAGAGTTCTGTGCTGCAGCCTGTTTCCCCTCAGATGACATCAATCATGGGTTCTCCTGTCAGCACTTTGGCGAAGCAGAGCAGCAGCAGAAGATGTTGGGAATTTCAACACTCTGTCTGTCACATGTTCCTTCACACTCAGCATGAGCCCTTCCAGAAAGTGGGCCTCCTCCTTCCCTTTTTTTTCTGTCTGTTAGTAGTTTCATTTTGTACAACAGTAGTCAGTGTGCACTTCCTTCAAATTTCCCAAAAGGTCTTCACAATGGAAGCATCCCGATGAATAATCTTCCATCAGAACAATCCCAAATTTGAGAGTTTACTTCACATTTAGTCTGTTTTTTTCTTTCAACAAGTCCAAATTTTATGTTTTATATAATATTATAAAACATACCCGAATGATATTGTCTGTTTTGTTTTATTTCAGGTCCACACTAACACCACAGTGGCCTTTGTACAWCTGACAGACTTTAATCACACCTACAGCGTGGAGGTGGCTGCGTGCACGCAGGCAGGGAGCGGCATGCTCAGCAAACCAGTCCGGCTCTTCGTGCCGGGGGACCGTAAGGCTTTTTAAATGCTGTAAAGTCTTCTGACTGTGTACTGTAAAACAGAAACTCATAATATTCAAGCTGTATTTATAAAGTAAAATATGTGCATGAAATATCGAAACATTTGCTTAAAAAATTCCATCCTTGTGATGCCACAGTGCAGTACAATGAGAGCAGAGGCGGAGCTAGACTTTTTGGCAATGGGTGGCCCAGGGGTGGCCAGAGTCTTATCTAGGGGGGCACATATAAAAAAATTAAACTACCCTGTATTTGAAATTTTAAGATGGTTTAAATGGTTATAATTCAGCAATTTAAAACTAATTGAGCTGAAATTTGTTGTGGTTCAACCAAGAATGATTGCTTGTCCCAATTTAAGCTAACTGCTAATGCTAATTTTACAAAGGGCTTTTATTTAGCTATTAATTACACAGTTGAAAATTTATATAGTAGTAGTAGCCAAAAAAATTTCACAAAATCTGAAAGTAAATATAAAATCCAAGATGGCCATCAAAGCTAATTTCAAATAATTATATTTCAGCCATTTTTATTCTTTTGGGAAATCTAAAATTTAAGCTTTTAGAGATGTTAAGCTAAAATTCAGTGTGAATTTATTTGAATTTAGATTCTAAATTCAAATAAAATATTCCAAAATGGTCACCAATACTAAATCCAAATGACTACAATTTTTAAATACAAATTGAGCTGAAATTTGGTGTGGTGAAATTGTTGCTTTATTGTAATTCCGTTGTTTCGAAAAGTTTTTATATTTTTCTTCACACACTGATAGTTCATCTCTACACTAGATAATACAGCTGAATGATCTGTTTTAGCTCTAACCGTCCCATCTTTTTTTGCCATATGCGATCTCCACCCCCAATTATCAATCATTTGGGGGCCGGCACCTGGGGGTGGCCAATCAGGTGCCTGAGGTGGCACTTGCCAGCTCGGCCAAGCATCTGGCTCCGCCCCTGAGCAAAAGCACAAAATGCAGATGGAGGGCGGGAAGTGAAGTAGCAGAGGATCTGCCGTGTGAAAAAATACCCATACCCAATCGTTCTAATCAAGAAACGGAATTATTAAYTTATAAAGTTTAAATTATTAAGTACCAAATGCCGCAAAAAAGTAYATTTTAAACCTGCGTCTGTTAATGCTGGTGTCTGCAGCGACTTCCTCAGAGGTATGTTAGCTAGCTAGCTTGGTTTGTGGCTGTGTTTATTATTGGTCGTTGTAAAATGCTCATTTACTTAGTAATTATTACTAAATTACCAGTACTCTAATATGGACTTCATCTTAACTTTTTAGGCTGCCCCTAGCTTAATGTGTCGTTGTTACCTGCTTGTTGACTARTGCTAGCATCTTAACATATAAAACATTATAAGAACTCATTCATCCTAGTGAAGACCAAACGATAATCATGGTGGAGCTGTTTGGTACTGAGGTTGTGGACCCACCCCCTGACARTCTACGCCTRCAGACTTTTATAGGCTRTCATCTGTCTMAAGGACCAGGTAATCTGATATCGACAGCCTCAAACTCGTGGGTCACGTCAACATATTTCTGAACTAATCGATGGTTTCTTTGTCTTGAAACTGGATCTAAATCTGCAGAGCACAAACTACAACAGTTTCCTCCATAGTCATTTTACTTCCTGCCCGCCATTTGCAGTCGTGTATCATCAAAACCACGTGGCTGAAACCCAGCCATGTGCTCTAATTGCTCAGTTATCAATTTAAAATTGTGACAATAGAAGGCAGCTGTGTGTTGAAACTGATAAAATAGGTTAAATTAAACTGATAGATCTGTGGATATTCTGCTTTCTGCCTTTTAAACAATTATGTTTTTTATAACTTAATTTGATTATCTTACTATTTTTTTCTCTCCTTCCAGATTCAGCGGTGACCCCTACCCCAAGCCCGGACTCAGGGGCTCCAAACACGACGATGATTGTGCTCACCGTGCTTTTTTTCTGTTTTCTGATAATCATCTCGATGGTTCTGTATTTCCGCTACAAAACGATCGACTGTTTTGGGTAAGTTAACAAACACCTAACTGCTTACCAACTGCAACCTAGTTATTAATATTAAAAATTTTAAAAGTTGCTATTATTTATATGAATTAATGTAAAAAACACGTAATGGTGCAGATTTACACCAGGTGCCTGTTAAATAACATTTCTTTGGTAGCAGGACTCATAATAATAACTTCCGGCTTTGTTCAATGGACTTCCCTCACTTCCTTTTAGTCATCTGAGGGGAAACGTGCAGCTGGTCTTTTTTTTTTTTTTTTTTTTTGCTGGTCAGTGGAGGCTCTGACTCACGCTTTCATCTCAGGATATGATTGGAATGTGTCACAGGCTGCTGCACAGATAAAAACAAACAACATCTGACTTCCAAGTCAGGTATAAACAAACCAAAGAGGAGGCCATACTACTGTGCGACCACCTTGGAAGAATCTGAGCTGCTTAATTTTCCAAACTGTAATTTTTTATTTTATTTTTCCCCCTTTTCTTTGTCTCCCTCTGCAGGTGGAAGTTGGGACCTGGAGAAAACTCACAACCTGTCATCCTGCACGCCAACCACAGATCATACAACCGCACAGCAGTAGCGGTCACACGTATGTTTTTAAATTAAAACAGAAAGGAACAACGGTAATATATTTATGTTCATTTTTAGATAAAGCTTTTTTTTTTTTGGCTCCTGTCTACAGTTGCAAACCTTGGTATTAGTGAAGAACTCCAGGCTAAACTTCAGGACGTGATGATCATGAGGACCCTGCTCTCGATAGGAAAGGTCCTTGGAGAAGGTGAGTGAAGTGTTTCGTGTGTATTCTTTTAATTCAGATCTGCACAAAGCTTATGGTGCTTTTAGTTAAAAATATTCACAAGTGGTTCACCAGGTGAATTCGGCTCCGTTGTTGAGGGACGTTTGAGGAAACTGGACGGCACGTCTGAAAACGTTGCAGTGAAGACAATGAAAAGTACGCTCTGATTTGTAATGATTTTAAATGAATTAAATTCGGATATGAGGGCAAAGTCAAATATTTTCCCTTTTMTTTTGTCAAACAGTGGATAACTTCTCTCACAGGGAGATTGAGGAGTTCCTGAATGAGGCAGCCTGCATGAAAGATTTCAACCATCCTAATGTCATCAAACTGCTCGGTATGAGGACGTCTCTGCAGATCTGATTTGTTCCCTCGTCTCTTCTGATTGACACGTCCTCTGTGCCGACTTGTCCTCGTTAGGTGTGTGCTTGGAAGTAAGCTCAGAACACGTTCCTAAACCCATGGTCATCCTCCCGTTCATGAAGCATGGAGACCTGCACAGCTTCCTGCTGCGCTCACGCCTGGGAGAGAGTCCAACGGTAGAGCTCCTGCCAAAGTTTTAAACACTTTTTTATTAACTAGAACAGATTTTTAGATCATTATTAGAGAKACGGCATTAAATGGGAAAATTCAGTGTGAACGCTGAGGGCTGAATGAGTTATMATGTTTGTTGTAGAAGTTAAAACCTGGAGTTAAGGCAAGTAAGCTAAAAAAATAACCACCAGAACTAGCAACTAAAATTTACATTTATGTGGCTAATAGTTTAACATAACAGAACATTAACTAAAAGTACAAAAACTGAAGCTAAAAGTAGCAGAACATTAGTTAAAAGTACAAAAACTGAAGCTAAAAGTAACAGAACATTAGCCAAAAGTACCAAAACTGAAGTTAAAAGCTAAAAGTAGCAGAACATTAGCCAAAAGTACAAAAACTGAAGCTAAAAGTAGCAGAACATTAGCCAAAAGTACCAAAACTGAAGCTAAAAGCTAAAAGTAGCAGAACATTAGCCAAAAGTACCAAAACTGAAGCTAAAAGTAGCAGAACATTAGCCGAAAGTACCAAAACTGAAGCTAAAAGTAGCAGAACATTAGCCAAAAGTACCAAAACTGAAGCTAAAAGTAGCAGAACATTAGCC